CTTCAAAGAGATTTACTCTCAGTTCTTTCCACAAGGAGGTGAGTACTTTGCAGAAGTAATTAGTGCTACAGCCAACAGAGGGTTATCTCTCTTAGTTCCTAAGTCTGACAAAAGAGCCTGTTGTTCAAATTAACCAGTTTGTTGTCTGAACTCATGGAGTACTTCCTTGATGTCTGGATACATTTTAAAGTATATATTTCTGAATGAAATGAAATTACATCTACCAGAAGGCAGTCTTCTATTATGAAGTTACTACCTGTATTTGGGTACTTTTGAACACCAGGTTTCTCTGAGTAGGCTATTTCTTTTTAAACTTTCTACACAGTCTTCTCTATTCTCTTTTATTTTACTAAACCTTTCACAGTAGGATTGAAAACTGTAGGAGGCACTACAGGTACTCTCTAATATTGATGGCAGAACCCCCTTGACTTCTGTCAGGTTTCTCTACTTAAATTAGGGCTTTTTTTGCAAACCTTAATTTCAATTAATTAATTTCCAGGGTTTCATTAATTTCTTTGTCTTCATTATCTTCTAGTGCAATGAAAGTAACACAAAATGTGTAACACTTTTGTCTTCAACCTTGGATTTTCTTTTAATTTGAATTGTTTTCCTGTCTTTTCTTCCTCTTGCTTTTATCATTCAATCCTGCCTCTTCATCTTCTCCCACAGCTCCTGAGATTTCCATGTTTTCCTGGGACTGGTCATAGCTCTTTGTTTTCACTTGTATTTAAAAAAAACCCCACACTTAATTGATAGGAACAGAATGTTTCCCAATTAGTTTTATTTTGAATTAAGACCTAGAAGGTAAAGAGCAGCATTCAGTGTTGATTACCATCACTGAAATATTTAACAAGATGGCACGCTCAATAGGGAAGAACAAAAGTGAAAAGAGTTGACCTGCCTACTGATTATTTTTATGTCTAAGCTTTTAAACCAGGCTAACAATCAGTTTCAGATATTAAAATTTTTAGTTATTCTGTCTAGTGAATTCTCTGAATGTAATTTACTACATCTTTACTACACTTCACTACAATCAGAATTGTTTACAGGCAAAGAGACCTTTTCTAAAACTAAAGCTAAAATGTATTATGAGAATAAATGTAAACTTAAAAACCTAATCTTTTTTTGTCCAGACCTAATTGTTACAGAAAGGAAATAATATTAATGTAGTTAAAATTGCTATATATTGAATATATTTTTCCACCCCTTTTCCTGGTTCTAATGCTCACCCTTCTGCTGCTCCTCTGGGCCTTTGGGGCAGCAGCATCATTTGGGAGAGGAGGTGGGGACTGCAGTGGACTGTTGGCATCTGGAGATTTTCCCTGGGAGGAACAGGATGTTCATGTTGGTGCTTTCTTCTTCCTCACTGTAGGATTCACCTGGGGTCATTTCTACATGTTTTCTAACATGTTTTCACGCCTTTCTTTTTCTCCATGGGTTTACAGCTCCACATTACAACCACATCTATTATAGGTGGTGACTTTTACATGTGTTAGATACTATTTCTTTGTACTCTTTGCTACCCATAAAACCAGTTTTGCCCAGCTCCACAACTGCATTTCTTTAACTGACCACAGGTGAGTTGTTTATAGCTGTGGGGTCTCCAGTGCCAGCCTGCACACTGTCTCCTCTCATCCCACACCTTCTCTCCTCTGTGCTGCATCCTGTCTCTGTTTGTTTGAAAGTTGTCCGCAAATTAAAACATGTGTCATACATGTAGATCTGTGCCTCAATTGTCTGTGTAATGCAAAACTGGATACAACATGATGTATCATTATAACAATTCATATCTGAGCAAACAAAATTATATTGTGTAAGATTTTGAGCTTCAGGATAACCAAAAAATCACCAAAAAGTCATTTTCCAATGTCATCCAGCAAGTCACTTATCAATTGACTTTAAAGACTATCCAGGACGAGGTACAGGAGGAGTGAAAAAAGGACAAAGGGGCCACAAGAGTAACAAAGGAGATGACACTGGATTGCAGTAAAACCAATGTATTTTAAAAGGCAGAAGTAGCTTTGCAAAAAGCTTTCCATGACAGAAAGGCACTCCAGTAACTTTTCTTTAGAAAACCACTGCCATACAGGTGAACAAATAGGCCCCCTGCATTCATGCAGTGGATTTCCTGAAACAGAATTTGGGATTTGTTCTTCAGCTGGGCAGGTCATAGATAAGAATCCACACACTGAATAATTATTACATTCCTCCTCAGTTGTGAACAGAACAGATTATGTTCATGGTTTGATAAGGCATACTCTAGGATGTATAATGACTACCATTTTTTGTCTCTGATATTTAAAATGCTTTAATGGTGTATTTCAAACGAATTCTTATTTAATATCTGTTCCTGTCTCAACCTGTCAAAATATCAATTTAGCCTACTAGCTATGATATCAGATCTCTGAAAAGAAAAGAAAACATATCTTATTTAAACATTAAGCTTTTGTCTAACATGATTAATGTTCAAGATTTAGGAGGGGTAAGTAACTCTAATTAAAAGACTGGCGTATCTCATCCTGCCATGTTTCTGAAGGCAAAATTTCAGACCAGAATTGCCAGAACAAGCAACCCTGAAAAAGACCTGATTTTTTTTTTTTTTTTTCAGTAGGGGCTACTAGAAAGAAAAGATTCTTCAACTAGAGGGTTGTTTTTTTCTCATATACCATCATACGAAAATAGTAGTATATTGTATCATGTATGGGCAACAAACAATAAAAAACCTTTGTGTTAACCTTTGTGCTTTCTGTAAATCTACAGAAAATAATTAGGAATATTTCACATGTTTTTAAGAAATTAATGCCAAGAGAATGGGAAGCTATTTAAAATTCAGTTTACAGTAATTATACCTCTATAATATGTTTTTTCCCTGAAGATGGTTTGCATAGTATATTTTGTTGCACAACAGAAGTCTCGGTAGATTATGCAATTACACTGATGAGTGGATACATGGCTGAATGAATGTCTCAATAGTGTTGGTTTGTGGTTTTTTTTTAATTCTCTGAATATGCTTTAACAGACTGAGCATTTAAAGGTTGCAGAGGGGTTTTTGTTACAATTATTTCACATCATGTGAAATTAACATACTGAAGTAAGATCAGAGCCTTTACCTACTAGGTCTGAATGCGTGAAGTACAAAGTTTTGAGTTTTGATATGTTTGGTTCCTTGGGGTCGAGGTGGCATTTCAGGTGAGTGACCCAAGACTGTCACTCAGTTTAATTCAAAACAATGGTTTGGGCTGTGACAAATTAAGGTTTTCAGGATCAATATGAAAGGTAAAATGTTTTAGTGCCAAGAAATCAGAAAAAGGCATCTCAGCACTGATGAGGTTTTTCCATGATAGGGAGGGGTTTGTCCTGCAAGGGGGACACAGATTTCATAATACCTCTCACTTTACTAGAAGTTTGTGAGGTTAATGTAGTTAACCTAAAATTAATGTAAATACATAAAGTGGAAAGAGCAAAGCAGTGAGTATTAAAAGTAAACAGTAACTCAGGCTAGTAAAGCTGACTTCCCGTGACCGCAGCAGCTCGTACCTCTCATCACCAGGGCTCATCACTTCTCTGGAGAAGTTCTCTCTTCGCAATATATTACTCCTGGAGCAGGTTCTGCCTCTCAGAAGTCTTTCAGTGGAAATGGAAAGATGGATCTTCACAAAAACTTAGAGGCTTGACAGATTTATACTCATGCTGTCTTGTGTTTTTAAAACAAGTCGATATACACGTGTCAGTAGGTTTGAAAAGTGTAAAAATAATTAAGGAAGTGATCGCTTGTTTACGGTCATCTTTCTGAGGCTTACTGACCACTTCAGTTAGTCACAGCCAGTTTTTTCCAAGGTCTTTAAGCACCTAGCCCTCATACAATGTTCATGGGAATTAAGCAGCAAACCAGGTTTAAGAAATTCGTTCTGTGGACAGAATTTTCTCTCACCGGTGGGTGAGCATGTGGCCCGCGCACAGCCACAGCTTTCTGACAAGCTCAGCTCCAACGTGGGTAAACAGGCCTGCCGTCACAGTAAAAACGATACGCCAGATGCACAGGTGGGAGTGTCTGCTTCCCTCATGTAAAATGAACAAATTAATGCATTTTTCTTTTTTGACATATGAGATAGCTCCCTTACCATGGTCACTAACTGATAAAGTAGCGTTCCCATTAACACAGGTTGTTTCAGAGTACAGTAACATGACTTGGTATTCATTCAGGTATCAGTGATTATCAGAAATGGGAATGAATATTAATAATCTAGACCAGAATTTTAGATTTTTCTGTCCCTAACAGTGTAGCTACCCACATACTTGCACTTACAATTTATCCCTCCTCCCCTGCCAAAGAAGTTTAAACGGAACTGAAACTTAAGTTTTGTTATCAAACTTTGGTATCAAAATATATCTTGGTATCAATTTTTTTCATGGAATGAAATTAAATTAAATAAGATGTACTTACGATGAATTATTTTTACTGTTTTAAATTGTAGATTCCACAACTTATGCACATTTTCTGTTTAATGCATTTGACACTGATCACAATGGGTCTGTAAGTTTTGAGGTAAGTGGTGCTATTCCTTCTTTCTCTGCAAATAAATATTTTGCCATTCCTTGTAATTAAATCCAGTTTGGTGGCTTTTATTATATGGCTCACATTACAAAAAAGTTAGCTTTTGTGACTCAAATTTCAAGTTTTTCCAATGTATTAACAAAAGTCACTATTATTATTTTACAATTGTATATCCCAAAATGGTAACTCGGACAATGCTGCTATATGATATTTTTATAAATCTGTCCATTTAAAACATAACCCAATGTATAAACAAGTTACATAAAACAACCCTTAATCCTTAATCCAGTAATTGTCATTGTCTTAAAGTACAAAGCTGTGGGAAATTGCAATGGAGATGTTTATAGATTTTTGTAATTTTAATCAAAAACAAACATGTATTTGTTTCTCAAAAAAATGTTTAATAAATCTTAGCAAAGTTGTTGGTGATTTTCTGATTGCTTTATTCCTCAGTTGTTACTAGACAATTTTGCATTAATTAGTAAATTAACAAGCATATTAACTTTATTCAACAGGAGAGTCCAGATTTTAAGATGAAACACAACTTTGCTATTCACTAGTAATAACGGTGATAAACAGTCATTGTCTCCAAGGCAGTAATATGAGGATAGCAGTTTAATGAATGTATCCAAGTCTGATTCTCTGTGTTCAACACAAAAAACCTTGTTCGTGTCATGTAGGAAATGAGCTAATTTTTCTCAGGACAATGGTGATCTCATAAGCATTTTAATACCAGCTCGTGTCAAGTAGCTACAAAGAAATGTATTTCCTCTTAGCAGCAGCTCCTCCTCGGTGATCTTTGTTTTACACACACCAGGGCTCCACCACTTCTGTGACTAACATTCATCACTTGATTCCTTTCTAAAATCCTAAGGGCTAAATCCAAAAATGGATATAAGTGCTTGCCTACTTGTTTCTTTTGGCCTTGAGCAAGATGTGAAGGAACACATGATGAGGTGGAATAATTTTAAGCTTTCCTATGGATTTGAGGCAGCACACTATTAAGCTTGTTAATTATTTTATTAATGAACTAGTTCTCCCCAAAGATTTACTGAGGGATAAAGCAATCAGAAAGTCATCAACAACCTTGCTAAGAGATAATTAATCACTGCTGGAAAAAAAAACAAATACAAATTAATCCCAGATCACAACTAGAGGCTCTACAGAGTTGTAGTGCAGAACTGAAATGTGAGCAGGCTGTGATGGTGAGCACGCAGAGGCTCCAGTACAGGTGCAATGATGCGCCGTTTTGCAGCTCTTCAGTGAGACATCTCCTTTCCTTGCAAAGTTAGGCACAGGAGAGTTTGACATTTAATTGAGGTCTTCACAGCATTAGGTGAGGTATTAGCAGGCTCAGCGGGAAGCTGGCAAGTTAGAAATCGAAGATGTGGAAAGGAGTAAAGGCAAGTACCAAAGCACAGACTTCTGTGCTTCTGACCTCGTTGTCACAGACTGAAGAGAGAGCTGACCTAGAGCTGTGCCTCAGTCCAGACCTTCTCCAGAGTTTTAGGCATCCTTAGAGGACGGAAGTCTCCAAGCAGTACTGTGAATCTTATTTCAAAAATAAATGGTCTCTAAAAGTGGAATTCCTCTCTCCCCAGAAATCAGATGTCTAACCCAGGAAGGAAAACACATCTGGGTACTAGAGTAATACAATACTGTAATGGGGACTTGGATTCCTGCTCCATGTTAAATGGTGTGCCTGGTTCATGCATCACTGAGTTGTTGGTAACAAGCACATAGACAGATGGTCTCTAAGCTTAGCTGCTACCCTCAGCACTGCTGCTTTACTCTGGCATTCTGCACTGGATTACTAGTTTAACAGCTAGCATAACTGCTCCTGACATATACACATCACCTTCCACCATGCAGAGCATTTTTCTCTTTGAGGCCCTAGCCCAAAATACTCGGTGGATTTAGCCCATGTCCATTGAATCAGATTTTCTATTTCTATATGATTTTTTTGCTATATTCTTCAATTGCATGAAAGTAAGTATGTAGAAAAGATATCCCATCCTAAGTGGTCCTTATTTAGATCATCACAGCTTCCTCTTATGATAAGTCCTTTCTGTTGTTCCTGAGATGGAATCCTGCACAACACTCCAACAAAGGCAATGCACCTGAACTGAACTATGTGTTATTCCCAAACATGTTGATGCAATATGGAAAGAGATGACTCAGTGTTACAAAGTTCAGAGCACACACCTGGAAGGTTTTTGAGTTGTCTCTGGTTTTATAAGGACATTCAGTCCCACACAAAACAGCATAAAGTCAAGTTTTTTTATGTGTGGTTTCTAAAACTGATAGAAGGGCGCCTTGCAAATGGGGATATAAATGATGTAAGGTAGCCAGCTACACATGTATGGTGCAGCACAGAAAGGAAGATAAATAATCAGGAAAAGAAAAATAGATATTTTTTTAGATAGAATGCAAAAATGTTGCTGGTACCAAATTAAAAATAAATTCAGAGTTCTGAAATATAATACTCTAAGAAAATAAAGTTACTGGAGACCTATGCAAAGGACTTCAGGAAAAGCTACCTCAAGAATATACAGCAGTCCAGAAAAGATTTGTAGACATGGTACTGAATTAAAAAGGTTAATTGCTAATGCTGTAATGTGATCAAGTCTGTTCTGAATTTCTTGAGCATTTTAATACTTAATAGTACATTGTTAAAGAAATGTTTGGAGATTTAACCCTCTGACCGTCCATCAGTCATTGAGATGTAGAAAAGACAAGTTGAGCAAGTCTCTTTCAAGATTCATGTACCCATTTACCCCAAGGGCACATATACCATTAAGACAGAAAGTTATGACAGACTAAGAAAACTCAGAGCATACTACTCGAATTGTTAAAAAGACTGAAGCTGTCAAAAGAGCTGTCTGTGCCTACTAGACCATCTGAGGCCATGGTATCTGTGTATTCTTCACTGTATCAGGTCTACTTATTTGACTGTGTGGTACATCAAACCTTTGTAATTTCTGTCTAACTTCAGTGCAGTCTTTTCCATTGTTCCTGTTTTAAGGAAATCCATAAACTTCGCCGGTGCCGATAAAAAATTTTTCAGCTTTTACTGTCTCTGCTTTAGTTTTACTCTAAGACTTTCTGTATGTCTTTGCCAATGATGTAGAAATGCACATTTAAATATAAGCTCTTGCCATATTCTGCTCAAACTATTATGGAGACAATTTCACAGATTTATGGGTTTACAAGCTTATCAAATAGAAAACAGTGGAGGAGATGGTTAGGAAAAAAAAAAAGCTATTATTTAGAATAAGATAACATGCTAAGAAATACAGAAAACAGGTCATGACACGTCCCAGTTGGTATTTTCTCCAATCTGGAAGATGCTCACTAAATGTAAATGAGGTTTGTGCTGTAAAGAGAGCATTAATTATGGAACAAAAGTCTATAACCAAATACTACACAAAAATAATCTCAAAAGTCTGATTTATTTCTGTGGAATAGCTCTACAGCAACAGAGCATTAGTGGGTCACAAAAGCATGAAGGTGGTATATGGACACATAATACATATTATTCCCTATCATATTTCCAATAAAAGGTTTAAGTATTGAGGTGTACTGTAGCATACATGAAGTCTCAATTGTTTACTGCAGCAGATTGATCTAAGATGTCTGGGAACCACGTACTCCACTTGCAACAAGGTGTAGATTTCACAAGAAGTTAATGTTCCTTAGTAGATAGTTGTCCCAAAATTAATCTAACTCCCACTTAAGCTTTTTTTTTTGGACCATTAAACCATGGGGATTGCTTTTCTCTGGTTTAAGTTCAACAGGAACTGCTTATATGAGGCATTTCAGAGGATAAATCCACAAACAGAAAATTATGTTTTATTTTATAGAAAATTACTCAATTTACTAATTAATTATGAGTGTAGCAAACAGTGCCTAGATTGCTAATTATTTTTTAAAAACCCAGCAATCCTTAACACTTACTGTGAAGCAAAAAAATAGAAACAACACATCTTTCCAGACTTCCATGTTTCTGACTAATGGATTTTTCTGGATTTCTGAGTGTTTGTGAAAAACTGCTCAATTCCAAACTGACCAAGACCTTTTGTCTATTTAGGATTTTGTTATGGGTCTCTCAATTTTACTCCGAGGGACAGTACAGGAGAAACTGAACTGGGCTTTCAATTTGTATGATATAAATAAGGATGGATATATAACTAAAGAGGTAAGGTCCACTTTTTACAATAATCACTGAAGCTAAAGGTTGTATGTGTAAGTCCTGCTTTCAAAGAATGGCTTCATTGTCAAATAAGACATGTTAACAAATAAACATATATTATGAAACTAGACATGCTCAAAAAGTTTTCTCATTTTAAAGGCATTAAAAAATTGAATAGGGAAAATCTTCACAGAAATGGTAAAAGGTCATAATTCTTCAGATACATAAATGTTTTGCTTCAACTTATGCCTACATGTTTGCACATATAGTCATTAGAATAAAGTAGTTTGTTAGGATATTGGGACAGAAAAGAGTTAAGTGTTTGGGCCATAATTGTTACTCATTTTATGAATCTATTTCTAAAAATTTTTACTTTAAACTGAATTTATATAAAAATATTCCTCCATCTTTTATTCTGTGAGGTTTCAAACATGTATTTGAATTCAGTAGGACCAAATTAATGCTTTCATTAAAATACATGGTTTTTCAGAACCGGGTCTTTTTGTAAAAATATCACATTTATAATTTTACACTTTTAGAAAAATACTTCATTATTATTATAAAAGGGTGATCTATATAATAATTTCTCAGCATACCGGCAGATGACTTATTTTTATAATTATTCTTATAGTTTTCACAAGCTGCTCTATTAACAAAATTCAAAGTTTTTGATATAAAAGAATGACTCTGCATATGTGCAGGTATGCACATGGGTGTTGCTGTTTTCGTTAGAGAAAACTCAGTTATAAGAAGCTGATGTGTTTTCACCATTCACTTGCTGTTACAGAACTTCTTTTCCTGATTAGGTTTACTCACAAGACTTCAGGAGATTGTTCCCACAGTCCATGAACTTGCATATATTCTGAATCATTTAAAATCAAAATAATACATCTGCATCTGTTGAACAAGTTTATCTAGGAAAGCTGAAATAACATGCTAGAATTTATAGGAACATAGTAGTTACTTCTTGAAGCTTGTTCAGTCATAAAATAACAGGTACAATCTCAAAATTTTATTCTAAAATGTAAATCCTAAAAATCATTTATGTGTTCTGAGTTAAAGCAGTGTCTACAACACACCTTACATTACACAGAGATTTTTTTTTTTTTTCTCTTCAGGAAATGCTTGATATCATGAAAGCAATATATGATATGATGGGGAAATGCACCTATCCTGTTCTCAAGGAGGATGCACCTAGACAACACGTGGAAACATTTTTCCAGGTGGGTCGGGTAACATAGAAGCCAAAAAGACTGCTCTGTTAGCAGGTATGGAAAGATTTTCGTTGTTGTAGTAGTTTTGCATATCCTACCAATTTTGTAATCCTTTTTCTTCTCTGTGGTTCCATTCCAAGTTTCTCAGATCTACTCATTACACCTTGTTTTTTTTTAAACAACAAGCTCCTTGAGCTTATCCTAATATACTGGTTACTACATCTTTACAGCATTTTGGCCTGGTTGTTCCTAGGCTGACATATAACTGAAATTAATAATAAAAAGGACTTGTTTTAAACAGGATTTCAGGAGCCTAAACATTAATTCTTATTCTTTCTGCACAGAAAATGGACAAAAACAAAGATGGAGTAGTTACCATAGATGAATTCATTGAGAGCTGCCAGAAAGTAAGTACCCAGTGAGAAGTACTAAACCTGTATCTGTTGACTAATGCTATCATAGTGCTACACAGATTTCTGGAGTGACAGTGGTGGTAATCCTAATACCAGAGACAGTATTTTCCCATGGCAGAGTATGTACACCATTACATAAAACCACTGAACAATGTAAATAAATTAGTGACTTGACTGTAGAAGAGATGATGTTATGTACAAGCTGTCATTGCTGATGAGACAACTGTGTCCGCATCCCTTCTCTCTTTAATCATGGGTTTTTTGTACTTGATAGCAAAAGGTTTCTTCACAGTCAGCTAAATATTTATTTCTATCTTCTGCCCATGCTGGAGAACACACTCCTGCTACAATGGGCATATGGTCACTGCAATAATAATAATATTGCTTGAAAATTTATCATCTATATGAGTGTTTCTCAAACAGCAAGTCATAACCTGCTGGAGGCGTTAAAAAGGAGGAGTGCAAGGAGCTTGGAAAGTGTTGAATGGCAGGAGTTAATAGCAGGCAAGTTTTTTCAAAGCAAGGAGTGAGAACTGATTGTGATTATCAGTTGCAAGTATTTACACTGCCCAGGTGGCTGTTAATTTGCTTCAACTGCTGAAGGGAGCTCATTGGCTCTAGAGCCAGGAATGAGAATAAACTTCTGCAACAGGAGTTAAAATCTGCTTTCACTCCTCTGCCCTTCAGAAACCATCTTGCTCTCAGACCAGGAGACGATATGAGGAAAGATAAGTTTAATTTCCACAAATTTAAGGAACTGCTGTTAATTTGTCAGCTGGAAAACACAAGCAAAAGAAACATAATATAGTACAAAATAATGATGACAAGTCTTTGGCGTGATTAAGAGGTTGTTATGTAAAGTGTCACATTAAACCAGTGATAAGGTAGACTTGATTACATTATGCAAATTGATGTGGAAAATAAACCCAACACTGGTTGTTATAGTGATAAATATAAGGAATCATAGAAGTGTTCTACTGATACCTTTCCAGGCTGACTCTGATTAACATGAAGCTGACACAGACCAGCAATACAGGCTGTGTGCATTGCTTCTTGTCTCCTATACAAAGAAGAGAGCAGTAGACAAGAGACGGGGAAAAAGATGACTAGTAAGATAAACACAGTTAGCGAGTGATAGATTTGTAACCACTTGGAACAGGGAAAGCTGGACAGGAAATAGCAAAGATGCTCTGGAATTTGTCGTATTTTTATATGCACCTGTAGTTATTCTTTGGGCTTGCTCTTGTGAGCACGGCTACCTAGGAAGTGATTCTCTAATTTTAATCCACTTATTTTGGGGGATGAAAGACAGACAACAGCTTTTCTAACTGTGGCTGGTTTGTATATCCTTAGCAATGGGTATTGGGTGGTGTCTCATCTGTTGGCAGAGCTCTGTTGCATTGACTATGGTTCTAGCTTGTCAGTCTTGTTCAACGTGAGTGAAAGGCATTTGCTCTACTGAAGCTGAGTGATCATCAGAAACAGAGATGAGATTAACTTCCCAGCTGAGGTCTGTAGAGTTCTGGAAGCGGAATGACAGATTAATCTGGATATGAAAACAATTATGGTGATGGACTGAGTGATTAATTTACAAAGAAAATTAATAGTTTGGTAAGGAATTGCTTGCTCTCCTTTTCCTATGTGATTCACAGTTTCTCATGTCTGTTAGAAGATTTCTTATTTACTTCTTCTGAGTATTCAGAATAGATGTGAGAGAGATGCTCTCTAAACAGCTACATGACAGAGACACCATTCTCCTCATGCCACTTACCTCATCATCTTCACTTGCTTTTAACTTCAAAGGCGACAATGGTTTTTGATACAAAAAGTATCTTTCTGCCTAAATTTTTGTCTCTCTACCTAGTAAGACCTGTTCTTCTTTTAAGACTTCTGAGCTGCAAAGTGTGTAATTCATTTTTGTATCAAGAGTTGGTTTCAGAAATGAGATTTGGGGTTAGGATTCAATCCTAACAATTCAGCTCCTTCAAGAAACTTGATTCAGGAGTTAATGTGGCTTCAGTCTTTTCAGGATTACATTTTTCACAAGAACAGTGGTGTGTGCTTCCTTTTAGAACAAAGCTGCAGGAAAACCTTTTTTTAAATGGTATGAGACTGATCTAAAAAGTTAAGGTTCAGGTTCTTTGCTTTCCTCAGCATGCCATGAGTCACATCACTCCAGGAGCAAGGTGTCTCATCTTTCGTGAGCATTTAACAAAACCAAAAGCAAAATTAAATGATCCTGTAATATTTTCTGTACTAAATCTGCTTGTATTTTAGACCTATCATGCAATATTTTTATGTTTTCCATATGTTCTGGTGTTATGGAAGAACAGTGGGTATCATTATTGCCCTTCATTCAGTATCTCTTTTCCAAGCTGTAAAGTACTCATTTATTAAATTTTTCCTCCTAGGGAAACCAGTCCACATTTTTAATCACCCTTGTCTCTCTCTCTAGACCACTGCTTGTTCTACTATACCTTTAGCTTGCCAAAATCAGGACATTCAGGACAGGGGCACAGCACACCTGCTGCTCCCTAAGCTTTGACAGCTATCGTGACTTCCTCATCTACGACCCCTCCTTTGGCATTAAAGCTGATGTTAGAGCACATCTGCTCAAAACCTTCCCTGTCAGGTTGCCTAACAAATGACTGTACTTGGAATGGGAAGGCCCATTGATGAGTACGGCAGCCAGAGCTACATCTGGTGCATGTGAATATGCTAAAGGCATGCAGAGGATGTGCTTGCCAGTTCAAGCTCAAGCTGTCAGACTAGAATCAAAACAGTGCCAGGAGACAAGCACTACAAGAAACCCTCAACCAAACTCTAAACCTCAGATCCCATCCAGTCTGAATCTTAAAACAGACTAGAAGCCTATTCTGCCAGGGAAAGGCTGCAGGAGCCTTTTCTTTGAATGATATCTCAGTCTAAAGTTTCCAGCCTCTGAGAAATGCCATTTCTCTATTTTGAGTTGGAAGTCAAATTAGTGGACCTTAGAAGTACATCTCTTTTACTGTTGTTTTGTGATGACTAAGGAAAGCGTGGCATGCTACTTTAAGAGTGAGAAGTAATACCACAAAGCATATTTGAATATAGAGGCTTCACTTCAGGTTCCTGGGATAGGTTCCTGAGGTTTTTTTTTGTAACATCAGGAGCCTCTGATGTGTTCTTAAACACTCAGTATACACACGTGTGCCTTTTATAAAAATTGCCTCCTTGTACAGAGTACTGGTTTGGCACAACAATCAATGTAGCAGCACTGTACAGCCTGAGGTATACAGCAAGTTCAAGACTTGGCAAAGTGTGGCCCCTCTGTTCACCAAGTGGTAAGGAGTTATGTAGGGAATTACAGACCATTCAGTCTTTGAGCGTGATCTTCTCTGGTTACTGAGTATAAGGACCTATCTATGCCTGTGATCAAGTGAGGACAACAAAGGTGCTTCCCCTCATCCTCCCTCTGTCTTGGACAGGCAGTGTGTATGACCTGATTCCCCCTGCCCTCCCTACTCTGCATACCCACGTACTTGATGCCAGTCTGCCATCCAGACTCCAGGAGTCTCCCTGCTCCCACGGGAGAAATGGACTATCCTGCCCTAGGTATGCTGGACTGAGTCCCAGAAAGTGGCTGCTGTCTCTGCTGCTTTGTATAAGTCACCAAACAACAGAGACAAGTCTTGGGAAACATTAGTGTGGTTCACTCAAGGGCTAGGCACTACCCAGTTCCTCCCCTGCCTCCTTTCACTACTTGGTGCTGGTGGAAAACGGTCTGACTGGGGCATTGCTTGATATCTGCAGCAGCACTATGAAGAACAGAAGCAAAGGCCTAAGGCATGTATGGTGCGTAGGTGAAAGTCAGGGTGAATGACTTAAAGACCCTTCTGATAATGATAAAAAGGCTTCTTGGAGAGATATTTTCTGTAGGAGTAACCCATTCCATACACAGTGCTGATGGTCAGGGCTAGCCTGAAAACAAGAAAGAAGCCATCTCAAACTTGAGTAAGAAAACTTCAAAGTTGGCTTGAAGTTAGGTCAGATCTGGCAAAGTTCATTCGTCCTTGCTTTATACTTCATATGCGCTAACACCTTCTAATGTCTTGAGCTAGGAATTGTTAAACAAAACTATTGCAAAAAATTGTTTAGAAAAATGTACTGAAAAAAAAAGATACACTTGCCAAAGAATTCTAAAATGCAAGCATCTGCTTCTTTTTTTTTGAAGATGGGAAAAAAAACCTACTAAAATATTATGCCAAGACTGTATTTTCTTGTGACGACTCTTCCCATTTGACTGACTAAAGGAGGGGCATTGGAAGTCTTCTGTATAGAAACAGCAATCTTCAGAAATACAGAGCTGATTTTAGAAAACTACTAGTTTCATTAGTAATGATATATATACTGTAAAATTAGTAGGAAGTGTCAAAAAACTTTCTAACTTCAAAGCATATGTTTGCTTTACACAATTGCTGAACTTAGTTGCCCGTGTATATACAAAAACATTTTTAAATAATTAAATGACAAATCAGTCCAGTTAAACCAAACTTTAACCTTACATTAATCAGTGTTCTTCATTAGTATATTGATGTTTCACAACAAAGCAGTGGGAAAAAGTTATTTTATTTAATACCCAATAGGTTAATATAGTAAATTTCCTATACAAATTTTTAAGCATTAATCTACTTTTTTTTTGAAATTACATATCATTGTTTTCATAAGTTAGCTTATTAGCACAAAATAGCAGGCAGATCACTTCTTACAGCAACATCACTTGAGATGACATACAGAATCAAAGATGAAAATAACATAAATTAAAAGAAATTACTCAGACTTGTCATTTTTTACAAAGCAAATCACCCACTAGACTGAACAGTGAATAATTTAACTGGAAATTGATACTGAACGTGTGTTATTGGCACATTAATGTGCAGAAGGCCTACGTACCTATCAGTAGTGGAGAATCCTATGAGATAACTTTTCTAAGAAGTGGGGTTTTTATGCATCTCTCTCATGAAACTTCCTAAAATATTCTATCAGATTCAGTCTTTTTATTCACTAGAATTAAAGACGACTAGATTATCTCTCAAGAAAGTACTAAAGGGTGTGCATTAAGATTAAAAAAGAGGATCATTAGAGTGAAGACCACCAAATGCTAAATGAGCATGTAATATACTCTTGTATGGTGTATATATTGTACTGTGCAACCAACTGTTGATCTAGAAGTGCCACCAAAATGGGCTGCTACAAGTAAACTCTTTCTTCCATACACTGAAAAGAAATGGTACAAAAAAAAAATTTTTTTTCCTGACTGCTGCACTGAGAGTTATTTCCTGATAAGAACTGGAGAACAGTGATGCATCAGTAAGTATTATGCAGGAGTTGGAAGTTGAAGGTTTTGTAACCTACCTAATGCAAAGCAATCAGAAAGCACAAGTAGCACTGGAAAACAGTCAGCATCTTTCAGTGTGAACACACAGAAAATCTGAGCTGAGGAGTCAGGGTGTTGCAGTGATACCTGGGGAACTGACTGACTCTGGTTCATGCAAAGATGAACACTTAAGTCTATCTTATTTTAGAGTCATCCCTAGCTATGCAGTAGGATACCTAGCATTGCAAAATGGCTTCTGTGTACAATACACAGGACTAGCACTTTCATGTACAGATTCACACTTCAGATATAACAATCATTCCTTGCGTATTTATTGTCTATATGTATTTTGTTACACTGGATATAAACTTACATCTGAAATATTGCAGGCTTGGTTTTCTTAACAAGCTATTGCATTCTGGACCAGATAGTTTTGGTTTAATGAATATATTAAAAAAATATTTTTAAGCATAGATCCATTACCAGCTGCCTTCTTGTAACAATTTCTCCAAACAAGCTGAAAAAATAATTAATGTTTTAATTAACTAAAATACAGTTACTTCTACCCAATTTCACTATAGGTATTTGCTAACTACGTTTGTAATGGTGTATGATTTTGGGGTTTTTGTTGTCTTTTCACAGGATGAGAATATAATGCGATCCATGCAGCTCTTTGAAAATGTGATTTAATGAAGACATTAGTTCTACAACTAATGGACAAATATGAGCTATTCTGCAACTTTATCTAAAAGATGGACTTCCCACTTTATCATAAATAAAATTACTCAGATTTACACTGAGACATGTATTATGCAAATAGTTTTTTATTGTAAACTTTCCCCAAAAAATCTTTCAAAAATATATACAATTATATATACAATTTAGGAATTCAGCAGTGGCTACTTTCTTAACAAGATTGTTCTGAAAAGTCAGGTTTTTACTCCAAGCTCAAATAAAATAAGACCTGACATTATGCAGCTTTATTATTATTCCAACCCCTAGATACTATCACAAGGAGATTAAATAAATAATCTTAGTTTTGTTACTCATTTGTACTGGATTAAGCTCCAGGTGTTTGAGTGTATTTCTTAAATCTTAGCTTCTAATTTATACAGAGGCATTATCATTTATTTTCACATTTGTATGTTGTAGTCCTCATCTTTTGAATAATACTTTGAGTTAAAGTGCTATAATCAATGTGCAATGCACATCTTGCTGCAATTGCCTTCCATTTTTGACTTGCTTTTCTCTTTAAAAAAAAAAACAAAACAAAACCAAACCAAACCCAAACCTAACAAAAGAGGTAACTTGAGAGAAAGAACTGTTGTAGAACAAAAAAAGCAATTGTTTATAGGTATATTTACTCCCTAAGAAATATGAGTAAGCTTCTATCAATCACACTTACCTAGGAAATCTGCTTTTAATTTATCATGACATAAATATCAGGAGTCCTACATACTACTTCTAATTCTTCTTGGATGTGTCCACAAAGTTCTATGAATTAAGGAATTTTTCATTAAGAAACCTTAACTGGATCCTAACACTGTTTTCATGTATGTGTCTTTGTGCCTTTAATGAAGAAAAAGGCATGAACTTCTGACACTTCCATCACACTACGGTGCTCAGAATGAACATCACTATGTAGTAATATCTACTAATGACTGATAGACATGCTAATATCTGTTTCAGCTTTTTGTACTATCTTTAATTATGAGACAGAATCAGGAAAAAATTCGCAACTTCAGCTATATAATATCATCTGTACGTGATAACTGTATTACATTTTTTTTAGGATCATTTCTTCATTAAGATTTGAGCTATCTTAATTCTGAACCTAGAAAGATTTTTCTAAAAATATATGAACGTAAAGTATAATACTGCCCCCCATCCATGTAATTTTTAAGGTATATTGTCCACTGAGTTTATGCCAATACTTCAAAATAGATGAAATGCTATCAGAGATAGGCCAATCTTCATTGTGACATTGCTGCAGAAAGGGGAATAATGAAGTAGAAAGAATGTTGCAAGTATTCTTTTGCAAAAATAAATCAGGTATCTATTCTGGTGTAGAGGTGGGATGTTAGAGGCATGTTGAAGGCTGCTCTGCTATCACCAGTGTAGGATAAGAGTAGTACAATACATGTACACCTGAAATCTGCTGTAGTGTGTTTGTGTGAACTAAATGTGCACATTTTGTAAAAAAAAAAAAATAAATAATAAAGTAAACATGAAGAAAAACATGCATCATGATCTATTTTTTGAGTTGTTAAAAAAATACTTGTATTTCTTCAAATTAAACATTTTTTCCAACAAACTTAATTAAAAAAACCTCCGAAACTTAAATACATAGATCTTGCCTCAGCACAGTTCTGATCTCAGCAGAGATCTTCACACAGTCCTGAAGAAAATATAATTTAGCCCAGCAGTGGGAATTTTCCAAAGATCCTGAAATTGCTTTCACATGACAGAATTTTTTTAATACCTTATGCAACAGCATCTTCTGTTGACAAAAAAAGAAAAAAACAAACAAAAAAAAACCCACAAAAAACCCCCCCAAAAAACCAAAACCAAAAACCCTTCCAGCAACTGGAATTAAATTCTGGAATTGTATTTTCCTCGGAGAAAAAGTTATATGGCAAATTTTGTTACTACAGTCAGCTCTCCCTCACAGAGTAACTCAAATGGCCATAACAAAATGAACCCTGAACAGTATTTATTACAAGACCTGTTAGGAATTATTTTGCAATCAGGTTCCAATATGTTTATGGAGAAACGCTGCACCCTACAAGGCTTGACAGCCAGGTAAGCTGGCTTCTGTGATGTTTTTAGTGTCTTTAACTCTCATTTTTTCCACAGCTTCCACATTCAGAAGTTTATTAGCTTGTCTGGAGCTGATTTCACAACCTGGTCTCAAGCATCTCTGTGGCATTACAGAATTCCATGCAAAGGGAGCATGGTGTAAATACTGCAGAGTTGCCTCCTACATCTAGCTCACATTCAGTAGGCCCAAAGCTAACTGGAACTAATTAATTGAGCAAAGCTTCTCAGAACAATGTGCTGCTTGTGAAATAATATCCAGTTAATCAATGTCACTGTAAGCACAATGCATATGCAAATAGCAGTCAATACAGAGAGAATTATGTTAAAGTCTTCCATAACTACATACGCACAAACTGACAGGACTTCTCCCACTCTCCATCATACTGAAGAATTGTGGTTATTTTAAGAGAATATATCATACCCCAAATAAGTGTCAGTGATGTTCACAGGCAGTTTCCTTCCAAACTTCACCTCACAGTACAAATAGCTAGTTTTCTTGTTTAAGAGGAGATAGAACAATAGGTCGGAATTTTAGATTTGATGATAGCCACAGTTGCCTGTTGATGAAAATAAGACAAATTTAAACAAAATAAGGTGCACTAGCACTATATATGAGAGTATTCATATAGTCTCTATAGAGCGTATAATTCACAACTTTTACTTACCTTTGTTATTAGCAAACTAATAGAAAACTAAGAATTTAATATTTGCTGAGAAATTTACTGTCAAAATGGTTAAAAATAATGAACTGAAAAAATGGAGTATTGTGATAACTAATGATGGACACTAAACATCCAAAAGAGACATGTAAACTCATACCTAAAACTGAGCATAAATGTAAACATGAAATAATAAGGATTTTTAAATAGAGGAGTGATATTCTGGAAGGGACTTCCAATAAAAGTAAGAATCATATACACTATAACTCATTTAGAATAAGAATTTGATAAATTCATTATTTAGATTATATAATATTGCTTGTAATCACAATTTAGGAGTTTGTTTCCAATTTTCTGCCTTATTACAGTATTTTTAGAGGACACAGAAAGACCTACTCGCAAACCTGCTAACACTATAAGAAGTCGGGGACAGAGAGAAGAATATGAGGTTAATGATTCATTGGATTAGTTACATTATCTAGGTCTACAATTTCAGAACATCAGGACGAGATACAATTTTCCTTTTCTTGTCTCACTACATAGAAATAAAAAACTTTCAAGCTTATTTATTTGTCATGATTTTTGTCAAGTCTGTAACACAAACACTGCAACTGCCCTTAAAGGAATATAAGAAAAAAAAAGTGGTGTCTACCAATTATGTGGATATCTACTGATTAAGCCACTCAAGCTTGGAAGTGGCAGACCTACATTTATGGTGTCTACTCTTTAGGTTATTCCTGTACTTTACCAATGAGACCATTTAACATAATACATGCAAGTGTTCATAGGGTCAAGAAAGTATTTTCTCTTCTAGATGAATATCCAAGCCAATAGTCTCTCACTTTTTCTTCTCCTTTCTGCACAATGTACAGTACAACAGAAAATAGCAACAGACTGTTCAACAGACTACTCTGTCAACTACTACTTAAAGCATTTTTTTAAAATTTATATCAATTGCATATCTAACCTCTGAGTTAACCAAGGTGGGCTGGAATGTGAGTATCTGATTTCTTCAGTACTGACCTAAACTCTAAGCTATCAGTGGGAGTGGGTAGGCATCACCAATAACACCAAAAAAGATCTTTTAGCAAAAGTAAATCCTGTTGAGAAAAGTATTTAGGCTCAGAAAATGGAACATGAAGTCTGCATTCCAGGCATATTGAAGCAAGACAAAATATCCAGCCTGAGTCAAGTGTCAATACTCCATCAGGGGCCAGAAGCTATTTACTAGTTGATATTTCGTGAATTCCTGGATCACTCTTCATGGGCATCTATCCTACCCTATGGTCTGTACAAGAAGCTCACATGCTTTACTCAGCATAAGCATCTACTTGCTAAATACTGTGATGCATAACTTGGAGTAAAGACTTATATTAGGCATCCTGGATCTTACCCTACTAACTACCTCAATTGTCCCACCAGTTCAAACTCTGGAAAAATAATTTAAACTTTCTAGAGAAATGGAGAATTTTCAAGAAAGAACAGCGAGTATCGCATTTAACCAAGTTCGCATAAGCTTCCCACCAAGAACAATAAAATATTCCAAGAAAATATCATGGGTAGGGGTCCACATGGACACACACTTGCTCCCAAAAGGAGTTCTCCTGAAGGGGGCTTGGTGTGCGTGCTCTAAGAGTCCAGCCATGTGGCTTCTTACGTAGGTTGGAACCCCTGGAATATTTTACAAAGACATACTCCTGTATTTCCTGCTCAGAGATTAAAACAATGGAGAACACAAATGAGAAGTGGGAAATGGTTAAAAAAAAAGGGAGACAAGAAAACCTAACTGTCAGAAAATGGATCACCCAGAATAGATTTAATGTAATTTCTATTAATACATCAAACAGACTAAAAGAACTATTTTACTATGGACTGGAACACAACTCTGCTAATTGACACAGTGTGAAATCCTGTGTTCTAGGCAATATGAATAGTTGTGACATGTAAAAGTAATCAGTTTTCAGAATAGGGTTCTTAATTTGAAAGCCAGAGGTGGAAGTTGTTCTGTCAAAGTTGCATTCAAATGTGTTTGAATTACAGAATTACAGAATAATCATCTGGTCAACTCACCTTTCCACCATATTGCTCCAACTTTTGTAAAGCAACAGTAATTTTTTCTCTAAATTTCTTGTCCATTAATCTCCTTGAAAGCTATTGTAAAAGTAAAATAAAAAGGTTTGTTGCCCAGTATAGTACATTATATGAAAAGAGGCCAATATAATTATATTTTATTACTTTATTTCATCTTATCTTTGTAAAATTAAACCCCAAAAGAAACATCACTTTATAGCTTGTAACTGATGTCAAAGTATGGAACTCGGTCAAGGCA